AAAGTAATTTTCTTTTTTGTTTTATTCTTGGATCGGGCTTTAAAGGGTTAAACAGTTGACAGGCCACGAGAGGGCCAAAGCAGACCTCAAAGCTCGCAACAACTAGAGGAGGAGGTGCAGCAGTTGTCTCAGATGGTCCTTGACATGCAGGCAAGAATGACAGACATTGCCTCCAATCTAAGACTGGATTTCCAGGAGGATGCAAGTAAAATGTTTGTTACTCTTATGAATAATCTGAAACAACCTGCCAGCGCTAGGGGTGCAGCAACAGAAAGCTTTCAAGTGCAGGACTTCTCTTTTGGTCAAGAGACGCCATCAATGGATGAGGTCATGAACAAGATAAACCAGGTTGCAGATGATCTTGAGTCGAGGAGTAATGTCTTGGATGACTTAATGAGTCGAGTAAATCTCCATGATGGACAAATAGGTCTGTTACTGGAGACGGGTCAGAATCAGCCATCCACGTCCCAACCTACAACGTCCAGCAGTGATGCTAACCTGCAAGCCTTCTTGGAAAGTAAGATCAGTGCTCTACGAGAAGAGTTGATGGAAGGTATAGAAATCAAAATGGCCGATTTGAAGAACTCCTGTGACTATAAAATCCACTCAGTTCAGGAACAGTGTGAAGGACAGGAGGCCAACTACTTCAGCTTGATCGAACTCATGGACTCAAAGGAATTAGACGTCCGCAGTGAGATCTAGAACCTGAAAACAAAAGTGGATGAACTACAGAAGGCAGGACCAGTAGATTCTCACCTGGAAAACCTTGAAAACCAGCTGAACTAATCTCAAAGCTATTTGGAGATGTGCCTCTCTGTGGAGAAAAATCTTTGGCACAAACAAGAAGAAGCCATTAACGACTTGAAGAAGACATTGGACGACAAGCTGGGATCTATACAGAACCAACTCATTAATCACCTGACAAATAACTCTAATTTCACCTTAACGAGTGAAAATAGTCTGCTGATAGATGCTAGCTCTGTAAAGGATTCAGTAATCTGGAGCATAAAATCAATGATCTGGAATTTCTGTGCTCAGAAAACTGTAAAGCTAATTTAACTGCTTTAGAAAAGCTTCAGAATGACTTCCAGAGCTATAAATCTATTGTAGATAACATGGAAACAAATCTGAACATTCAGGTAAGAGACTTTGAATCCATGAAGGGTCAGCTTTTGTGCATCAACAGCACTATTGAGAATGTGAGTAGTGAGATACATAACCGTCTGGACAGAGTGGAAGATTCACTATCATTTGTAGAAGATCAGTGGAACCTTAACTCCTCCTGGGATCAAAATAAAGAAGCAACCCTCAAGGATTCTAAGGATCTTTTGGAGCTTCACAGGGTACAGCATGAGAAGCTGAGACAGCGTTTAGATGAGTTGGACAGTGAGGTGAAAGCTGAGGCCAAAAGCTGCAGAGAAACAATAATAATATTGTTCCCAAAAAAGAATATATGTTGGTTTTATTAATCCTAGATCTTTAAAATCTTTTTGTCCTAGTTAGGGATGCATCGTTAATAAAAATAAAAAATAAAAAAGAGGAGGAATACATGATGCAAATACATATCTCATATCAGCAATTCAGGTGTAGCTCATCTCAGAAAAAGTCAATAATTGATTATAAAAATATATTTAATATCTTTGATGAACAAATAGGAGAAAAAAAATAACTCCAACAACTTAAAGGGAATTATTACGAGAATGGGAAAAAAAGCAAATGTTCTGGTTATTTAAAGCCAACAAAAATGTGTCTTTGCTAAAGGATTTCTCTCTTAGATAAGGTAGATTTTAAGTTGATGCACTGAATATGGCGAAGAATATCTCTGACGAGAACTTTCAAAAACATTTGATCATAGGAGCGGAAGAATTAGCTCCTGTGTCGTTCAATTGCAGTTTCTTCTCTTAACCAGCTTGGACTACTTTTTTGAAAATCTGTTCCAACTTTGTGTTATTATTTATTTAAATTTCATGAAAGCAGGCATCCTACTGCAGGGCGGCTCAATTTGAACAATACATACTGGAAGTGTCAACTGGAAGTCATTCAAATTCTTAATATTTATTTTAAGTAAACTCAAAGTTGAATTTAAACTATACCGTATTTTCACGACCATAAGGCGCACCGTACTAAAAGGCGCAGTCTCAGTTATGTGTGCCATTTCTATATTTAACACACACATAAGGCGCACCGGACTATAGGGCGCGTTTTTTATATACAGGTACATGTCCTCTACTACGTTTAAATAACTCTACTGCGTATTTAAAAATACAGCGGGAGCAAAACTGAGTATGACTGTGCTTTATTCATGTATTTATTACAAAGTATTAATCAAACCTGGGAGCTGGCCGTGAGACAGACACATCGCTGATGACAGATGAAAAACACCTACCAGTTACCGCGGTGAACCGCGAGGAGGCGACCCGGCCAGAGGCTGCTGTTGAAGGGATTCCTACTGTCGGTGTACCACTGGTATGTGGGGGTCTGAGCACCTCCGACAGAAATAGTATAGGCAGGATGATAATCTGGATGAACTGACTGCAATGATTAAATTTTCAGGTGGACTTTCTCACTTAAAAACATATTAAAACTACTTTATTCCCACTGATCACAGCAAATATAGCTGCAAGATTTAGATTATTTAGATGAAAAAACACCTGCCAGTCACCGCGGTGAAACCAGAGGAGACCAGCTGCTGTTGAATTAAGTTTTCAGGTGGACTTTCTCACTTAAAAACAAATTAAAACTACTTTATTCCCACTGATCACAGCAAATATAGCTGCAAGATTTAGATTATTTAATACTTAAAGGCTATAT